GCTATCCGGAAGGAAGAGCCCAAACCACCAAATGCCCACGTCCGAGTGTGGTAGGTACTACCTTTACTGAAGTATTTCGCTACCTACCTTACCTGCCGACATCATCATGAAGGGCTGTACGTACCTACATCACAAAGGTGTCAATCAACTGGAAGTCACGGTTAATGGCCTTCCTCTATTCGAACAGATGGCCTCATCTGACTTTTTCATCTCCATGATGATTTTTTATTCCCGGTTCCTACTTTTTGGGTGCCAATGTCATGTCAGCCCAGTACGACAAAATCTCTGTCCATACGGTCGCAATCACTGGGACATTCCCGACGCAACAAGAAAGCATCTCCCTGCCGGCGCGAAATAACGTCAGTTCAAACAAAACAACCCAAGGCTCAAGCACCTCAGGAAAGAAGCTCGGGCAAAAAAAGAAAGCAAACGCCATCATCTAGTCTCTCCTTTTTTCGCCTTTCGACTTTCGACTCCAATTTGCTCCCGCCTTGCCTTCCCCTCTGCCCCGTCCCTCCCTTCCAGCCCTTTCCCCTTCCCCCTCCTTCTCAATTTCGAACCTCCTCGTTTGAAGTCCACTTTTCTCGAAGACGTAGCCGCCAGGGGAAGCCGAGCCGCCGGCCACCACGGGCCAAGGCATTGCAGACGGGAACAACCCTCACATTATCTTCCATCAAACCTGGCATCGAAGCAGGCATTTCCCTCTATATTACAATCCAGCATTGCATGTTCACCTAACCTTATACGCTCCTGTCGACACCGTCGCATACATACAACGCTCTATCTACAGACTACACATCATTCTGCGCCAGCCTGACATGCATTGCTGTATGCATTACTTACGTCAGTCAGCCCATACGAGAGCTTTTTCGTAAGCAATGGCAAAGCAGGTAGCTTTTCGAGCTTCCAAGACTGCCAGAACGGGAGCTGCAGGCAACGTCGCTCGCCCAGCTTCCGAGTTCCTGTTTTGCCACACCAACTTGCCGGGTCAGACAGCATCTGTTATGTACGGAACTGGATTTGCAGCAATGCAATGCATACCTAGCCCTTCCATACCGAGACGACCTGTCGACCTTTTCCCTCTAGTTTCTCTTGCTCCAGGTTTGGGTTCAAGACCCCTGGTGCTTCAGCTTTCTCCTCTCCCTCTCCTCACTGACCTGACCAGTGAACACGACGGCGACCCCAATCCCTGACTCCCGAATACCCTGGCTTCTCCCTACCACATTGCATGCCCGCACTACCTTTGCAACTAAGCAGCCCGTTAGGCTAGAGCCGCCGTGCGATCAGCGAGTCCCGTTGACCACTGACCAGAGACATCCATCACAAACCTGAGATTGACCAAGGATCGACCGTCAGGTCTAAGGCTCCAAACAAGACAAGCACACGAGCAAGCACAGTTGAGTCGACTGAATGGGGCACGGGCGCAGGCTGGAGACGCACAGCACCGACGTTGGCCTAAAGCAACCCCCAACTCCACGGCACGGTGGAACTGCAACTATGTGAGGAAGCACAGCAAGCAACCAGCAAGCTACCTTACCTCGCGGATGTTGCTGGTGGTAGTTGCCGTAGCTCTGCTCTCGAGCTCTCTGTTGGTTGCTTGCTCCCGGTTGCTGTTACTCCTCAACTGGAGCCTGCTGTGCTTCTTCCCGAAAGCAATCAGTTTGAACCACAGACGCGGCCCAGGGGCCCGCGCCGGTGTCTCTGCGCCGGCTCTCTCTCCTACCCTCCCAAACACGCCAGCGATTCGACGTCGAGCCTATGGGGGAAACACACAGATGATAGTTAGGTAAGTGAAAGACAGGCAACCTGTCTCTCGGTTGTCTGCATTATCATTTTTAGCCCACCAGCAGGGCGAGGAAAGCTCAGACTCGGGGGTTGTTGTTGCCAAAATACTTTGCATTCTATTCTGGGGTACGAGGTGTTGTGCGATGCACATCTGCCACAACTACGAACACGCCCCCAGCTGCTTCTATAGTAGACACCATTCCCATCTCCTGTCTTTGATATAGGGACCTGCAAGTGCGAGTCCCCTCACCCCCGTTTTCAAAGGAAGCTGTTCCGCCGCTGGTGGAGTAAGCTCGTCTCGCGTAGTTTTGCCCGAGGTAGCCTTGCTCAGACAGCATAGGTAGGTACGGATACAGATACAGGGACACTGGAAGTTTCCCGGCGATGATGATGATGACGATGAGGGGCACACGACAGGGCATGTGGTTGACAGTGTATCTTGTCACCATACACTGTAGGCAGAATGGCGTTGATTGCTTGGTGTCACCTGTTCAGTTGCGATTGTTGGTCGGGCCGCTGGATGTGCTAGGTACTGACAGCCCAGCCCCTTCGCTGTATCAGACAAGTCGGGACATGAGCTCGCAGAGATGATCTTTTGGTGATACGTCTGGAAAGGAAAATAAGAAAAGAAGCTGGTAGCAGGCGCCTCAAGACGACCAGCCTGTCTTCGTGTCAGTCTCAGTCTACGGTTGTATGCGTGGGAGTCAGCCTGGAACGAAAGCAGGTCCCGAGATGAAGTCATTTCGAGCACGGCTCCGACAACTACCATGCGCTACAATATGAGAGGAACATGCAGCTGGATCAAAAGTACAGGGCAGGGCAGGTTTCTTCTTTCGACTGCAGCGCATCTACAGCACTTATTAGCATGCATCACAAGTTTGAAAGTCGGCCAGTCGGCTGCCTGTCGTGGCCAATCAGGACCGGAAGCACGAGTGCTGGCAAGTCGAGTCGTCTTTCCCTTTTCAGAGTCCGGCCGTATGCGCTGTCAGTTATTCAGAAAGAAACGAATGACTTGCGTGCTTGAGACGCTTTTGTCCTTCTCAAGATGGTAGGGCACAATGACACCAAGACCTTGGAAAGCTAATCACCTCGGAGGCTCAGTCAGTATGGACCGTGATACTCCAGTAGGGGGAGCCTAATATACGTTTGGAGACAGATGGCGCACTGTGTTTTCTAAATTGGAGTCTATCTCGGACACCCATCTGAAGTCTCAAAGCAAGGCTTCGTGCCTTGGTCAAGGTAAAAGTGTGTGCCCCTCCCATCCAGTCCTGCAGCCAGGGCTCTGTCATCTCAAAGCGTAAGTACTTCGTATCTTAGGTAAGGCACCTAAGTAAGGTAAGGTAGGTAAGGTAAGACAGGTAGACCGTAGGGGCATCTTGCACTGGCCCTGCCCGGGCATTGAATGGAAAGGCAAAAGGCGCAATAAAGTACCTACGTACTTTGACGGTGCCGGATGAGGCCCCACCTCACAGGCTTTTACTCCACCTTTTTCCACACCACCACACCACACGGCCACGGCCACACGGCCACACGGCCCCCAGGCTTAGGAAGCCCGCCCGCCAATTCATCCTCCGATACTTTCGTACCCACCAGCTGCCACGCCCATTTCGCGGCCCTGCTACGCCTGCCCACTTGACTTGACCTCTTCCAGCCGGTCCCCCTCGTGCCTTCTCCCACTTCAATCTGAACAGACCCCGCTTTTATTTTCCAAGCACCCGAACCAAAACAGACTGGGAAGCACGCGAAGTAGGAGACTAGAACAAGCAAAATGGAACCTCCAACTCCACCCGCTACCTCGTGAGATGAGTGTTCCATTCAGTGTACAGATAGGCTAAGGTATTCTGCTTCCTGAATCCTGTCGGGTGTTGTCTCTTGCAGTCAGTCAGTCTTGCAGCCTGTGAAGAAAGCAAGTCACTGACACACCACTCCACTGAATTTCATTGGATCGGTCGAGTCCTTCTTTACACACTCTTTAATTCTGTACCGCGCAACTTGCGTCCCACCAAACCCAGTCCAGCCCAGTCTTGTCTCGTCTTATCCCCCGCTGCATGTACATTCCAGTCTACTGCGTACACTACCTACGAATACATGATACATTCCCTAGGCAAGTTGGTTCCCGGCAAATTCGACCAGCATCGGCAGCACCAAGGTAATCAGCGAGAGTAGTCCCATTCTTGCCCTAGTCTGACGGCCTGCGCTTCCATCCACCTTTGGTGATTGCTCACTCCACTCGGAGCTATTCGCTACCCAGAACCCAAGATACTCATATCCGTACCCATACGTACTTTTTCACAGAGTTGTCGTCGTGCTGCCGGCTTTTGCTGGCGGTTTGCCCCCCAGTTGCCAGCTTTTCTCGAATCTTGCCAGCTCCGGGTCCCAGTAAAACAATCCCCCGTCGCTCCGTCGTCCACTTCACTCCTCTCGCTCCGCAACCCACCTCACCTCACCTCACCTCACCTCACCTCATACGGCCCAAGAATCCACTTCTTTCGTCTCCATTCAGCCAGTGACAGTCAGCGTGTCCCGGTCCCCATCAAGCACAGAAGTTGCTACAAGCCTGCGACCCAGCGCCTACTTTCATACAGGACCTCACTGGACCAGTGGATAGAAAGGTACCTTAGGTGCCCGGTCACCACCTTAAGTACCCAGGTATCTACTTAGGTAAGTACCTATCCTCCCAAATTCCATTGGTCTATACCTAGGTAAGGTTCCATACCTTATGCTTGGATCGATTACCGCCGCTGCTTGCTAATTAAGACCAAGACCCAAGGCTAAACCGGTCCCCTCTGTCTTGCACGCCTTCCCGGTTCACTCCCCGACTCGAAAAGTCTCGAGACACGGCTGTCACTGCGACTGTACTTGGAGTTTTGCTGCCATCTACACTATTCTTGCTGGTATCACTGGCCCCTCCACACACCTTACTATACCTTGCCCACCAAGCCTTATCACGTCCAGCTTGAGGACCGTAGACTCTTAGAGACTGAGAGTTGGTAGGAGGCAGACAGACCACCACCACCACTACCACACAGCCGTCGCCGCCGCCGCGTGCGTACCTCTCCCGCCGTCCACTCCACGTCTCAAGCCCAAGTCCAAGGGGAGACAGCATCGCATTGTGCCCGTACCGAGTTTTTTCCTCCTCACACACCCTCTATTCATACCCTCTTTTTTCCCTTCCTTTCCCTTTCTTCGACGTTTTAGACTTTTTAGGGTGTATCATGGATAGCAGCCAGAGCACGACTATTTCCAACGGCACCTCCCAACGTCGCAGGCTCACCAAGAAGCCGCCCTCGTCCTACCAGCAACACACCCGTTCCTCGAGCGGTCTCGATGGTGGCATCGACGCCCTCTCTCTCCAGAGCAAACGCAGCTCTACATCGCTGAAGCGCGCTCCTTCCGCTCCACCAGCCCGGACGACCCCTTCAAACGCGCCAGCAGCTGCTTATTCTTCTGCTTCCGCTTCGGCCTCTGCCTCTGCTTCTGCTTCTGGCTCGGCACAGAGTTCTGGTATTCCTCTACCCGGCGTTGCTTCTTCTGCCGCTTCCAACAGCTCTTCGCCCCATCACCTTCCATCAAGTCAGACGCACCTCCCCAATCCTTCCCCCATTCTGCCTCAGGGCCAGTTCGCCGCCGTCGCTGGATCTGCTGCTCCTTCCCCAACTGCCTACCACCACCCCCAGCTCCACGCCCAGGCCCAGACCTCCTCCTCCACCTTCCACGCTTCTTCTGCTGCCGCTGCCGCTTCTGCTCACGGCCACGCCCAAACCCACGCCCACGCCTTTTCTCCTCACCACCATCAGCTGCACTTCAATCACCAAAACAATTTCTACCAAAACAACAACACCAACAACAGTCCTGTAGGTAACGGTTTCGCCGTCGGCATCGCCCACAGCACCGATCGCCCGCTCGATCCCGCCGCTCCCTCGCCTTTGTCGTCACAACCCCACGACGAATTCATCGGCGCTCCCTTTGACGGTGCTGCGGTCCTGAACCGCATCGAGCAGACCAAGTCGCCTGTCGCCGGTCAGCATCCTCACTTCAACACCCCCAACTACCACCGACACAACGCTCCCGCCCCGCTCATCAAGTCGGCGACCGATTCGCGCATCAAGGGCCCCGCCCTGAGACAGTCCCAGAGCTTCACGAACGATTCCTCCATGATGAACGAAAAATCACAAGGCGGACGGGTGACGGAGAACTCAATGATCAGCCCCAAGAGATATTCAGACGAGGCAAAGGAGCCCCGCATGGGCGTCCTGCGCAAGAAGTCGGGCTTCTCTGGCTTCATGAACAGCCTCGTCGGCACCCCAAAGAAGCCAGTCATTTCAGCGCCTGAGAACCCCGTCCATGTCACCCACGTTGGTTACGACAGCTCTACTGGCCAGTTCACCGTCAGTCCGGCCTTTTCTTCCTCTTTGTCCTCGTGTGCTTGGTGTAACTGACGATTTTCTACAACACAGGGTCTCCCCAAAGAATGGCAGAGATTAATCAACGAGAGTGGAATTCCCGAGAAGGAACGTAGGGAGAACCCCCAGACCATGGTTGACATCATCACATTCTACAAGGAAACGACCGAGAAGCCAGCCGAGGATCAAGTTTTGGAGAAATTCCACGATGCTAGAGCGCCTGACTACCGTCAGTATGCAAACGCGAACTCGCCGTCGGGTGCCATGTCGCCGGGCATGTATCCGCCAACCACTTATATGGGTATGTCACCAATGATCAGTCCACCTGCGAGCCCTAGGTTTCCAACTGTCAATCATGAAGGATCTTTCGAAAACCCCCGCCAGCCGCCGCCCGTCCCTGGAGTTTCGGGAGGCAAAGGCTCCGGCAAGGACATCAATCTGATGCCCAGCCGCCCGGCCCCGAAGCCCCCCGTTAGCATGCCCTCGTCGATGAGGTCCGCTCCCTCCAACTATCCCGGCAAGGACTCCGGCATTGGAATGTCTCAGCCCGCCGAGGACCTACCCCCGGTCGCCTATCAGCCGCCCAAGGAGAGCAACGTTCCCATGCTACCCGAAGAGCATCGTGGAGAGCACCGATCTCGATCCCGATCCAACTCGCGTGCTGGCGCCCCCGCCGGTTACGTGCCCCCCACGCCTAACCCGCAGACAGCCCAGGCGAACGTTTACCAGCAGCAACTCATGCAACAGCAGCAAGAGCAGGCCCTAGCTCAGGCCCAAGCGGCCATGTCTGGCCAGATCAGCCGTGCCCCGAGCAAGAGACAGCCCGCCCAGCAGCCGACCCCACCCCAGTCGCAGCACCAATACGCTCAGGGTCCCACGGCAAACGGCGGTCCCGGTCAGCGACAGCAAGTTGGTGTCCCTGGCGCACCTGGTTCCAGACCCAGACACCGACCCCGCCAGAGCACCGGTATCGATGTTGTCGCTGCTCTCAAGCGCATCTGCTCCGACGGCGATCCTCGCGAAGTTTATAAGAATTTTAACAAAATTGGCCAAGGCGCGTCAGGCGGTGTCTACACCGGCTACGAGCGAGGAACCAACCGTCTGGTCGCTATCAAGCAGATGAACCTCGAACAGCAACCCAAAAAGGATCTCATCATCAACGAAATCCTTGTCATGAAGGACAGCTCACATCCCAATATTGTCAACTTCATTGACAGCTTCCTCTGCGGAGGTGAGCTCTGGGTTGTGATGGAGTTCATGGAGGGCGGTAGCCTTACTGATGTTGTCACCTTCAACATCATGACTGAGGGTCAGATTGCCTCCGTTTGCAGAGAAACACTTAAGGGCTTGCAGCACTTGCACTCGAAGGGAGTTATCCACCGCGATATCAAGTCCGACAACATTCTCTTGTCAATGGAAGGCAACATCAAGCTGAGTAAGTCTTGAGTAATATTTGACATTATGGCAAAACTAACGCCAGGTAGCTGATTTCGGTTTCTGCGCAACCATCAACGAGGCCCAAAATAAGCGCACCACTATGGTTGGCACGCCTTACTGGATGGCCCCGGAAGTTGTTACGCGCAAGGAGTACGGGCGCAAGGTGGACATCTGGTCTCTGGGCATCATGGCTATTGAGATGATTGAGGGAGAGCCGCCATACCTGACCGAATCACCTCTTAGAGCGCTGTGGTTGATCGCTACCAACGGCACACCCCACATCAAGGAGGAGTCCAACCTGTCAGCAGTCTTCCGGGACTTCCTGTACTTTGCCCTCAAAGTCGACCCCGAGAAGAGAGCCAGCGCGCATGACCTCCTTAGAGTGAGTCCATTCGAGATTCCAGCGATAGTCCGACACTAACTTTTTTTTCCCTTCCTAGCACGAGTTCATGAAGGGCTGCGTTGACCTTTCTCAATTATCGCCATTGGTACGTGCCGCAAGAGAAGCTCGGCTTGCCGAGAAGGCTAGAAAGGGACAGTAGGACTCCCCTGGCCATTCACCGAAGAACATCTTCAAGCGGTTGAAACATCGACATTAATGACGACCTTGACGACAACATACATCCAAAATGGGGCTGCCCCTAACACAGGTATTAAGATACCCCAGGAAATACCGTTGGCCACGACACACGTAGCTTGAGGTTGCTTTCCACCTCCGCTCTGCTCAACAACTTTACTTATCCTTTGGTCAACGCCCTTGGCTCTCGATATGTTCATGGACCCAGTGTGTGTCCGCGCCTTGGCTTAGCCGCCTTTCGACCCCCAAACATAACTCTACTTGCTTTCAAGATACCACTTCAGGGCTCTGAACCATTTTCGGCTCGGACTTTCTGACATTTCTTCTTCTCGACGACTTGCACACGCAGCATCATTCGGCATGTTGGCGACCGAGCAAAGTCCTTTTCTGTGACAGCTTTTCTCTCTTCGATTTACATAGAGGCGACACGATTCTGGACTCGGCAACTCGCCTCAAAGTCAGACTTTGGTTGCATGTGCGCAACGCGGTCTTCCCATTGGATCAAGACATCCTCTTTGGACCAATCATATTACCAAAGTCTAGTGGCCAATGTCACACTGGATATCGGTCACTAAGGGAGGGACGAGACGATGAATCGCACGATTTGATTTGGCCAGCGGGAATAGGTGGTCAACTCTTTTTTTGGGGCAGGCAGGCGAACCCCTTTTTCAACCTGTCTTGTGGGGATTTCTCTACTCTGTACAGAACACATCCGAGAAAAAAAAAGGATCGATTTTCAGACGAGACGTCGACGGACATTTACGAGGGGGCATGTTTTCGGCTCAATGGTCCCTAATGTCTGTAGCCCACGCAGGAGGGCGTTCTTTACCGGTCATGCGCGAGTTGATGTACCACCGTGGCGGTGGTACCATGGCTATTCTAGACAGACTCGACTAGGTAGAAGAATGACCCTCAGGCCCAGCAGGCCTAAGAAAGTTAAAAGCAGTGTAGCCTTGTCTTCCCAGTGACGCCGTGCCGTATCGAGTGATTCTATTATTCGGTTATCCCATATATTCTCAACATGATATCTTATTTACACTTCGGCCCCTTCGGCAGAAAAGAATATGGTCTATGATTTTGCCTACTTCTCCATCCTGAGTAAGCTAGTTTCCATCCACCTGGCCATGTCCTTTCACATGTCCATGCGACCATGCCATGTCATTCGCATCAATGAGCCCCGGGCGTTTTACCTTTTTTCAGTGAAGCTCTCTCTACCTTCTTGCTCCTATCACCTCTTTTTCCGGATGAGACTGGTAGATGTCGTTTCTCTTCACTTTTTGACAAATGCGTTCTCTCTCTCTCTCTCTCTCTCTCTCTCTCTCTCTCTCTCTCTTCCCCTCTCTCTGCGTGTGTCTCTGCGGCTGGCGCCAGTGGAAAAGCCTCTCCCAGGGCCTGCATGACGGAGTTTCTGTGCGCAATTTTGAACACTTGGGGGGCTATCAAGGCATCCGTATTTTGGAAAGGAAAGGATTTCCATATATATGATGTGTTGTTACTATTCCTTTTTGCGAAATAAGTAGGGAGGAGGGGGGTGATGGGTGATATTCCTAGTGTTGTTGCTCGAAAGTTGGTAGAGGTAAAAACGCTCGTATGGACAGAGAAGGGAAAGCGACCATTTAGATCCCCCAACGGCGCCTGAATCTCTTCTTTTCCCTGTACACCTGATGACCTCCAGGTCCAATTTTTCTTTTCCCCTTTTTCGTACCTGGCGATGTGGAAGAAAGCCCCTCCCCCCCCCTAACGGCTGTCTTAACTGTCCATGGAAATGGATTGCGTCACCTTTTTGACGGGATGAGGGGACTAAAGACCTAGAGAGACGGCTCATGGTTTCTGGAGGACTCATGGGATGTGTCCTTTTCGAGGGAGCTGTTCACTATTCTTAATTCCGTGATCCGGAAGAGGGCGGGGAGCTATCCGTATCTGGTGGTTATGGTGAGGTCTTCTGGTACTAGAGCCGAAAATGTAGAAGGGAACATATGAGGGATCGGCTATGAAGAGAGAGGGATGTTATGGATGTCCGGTTAGAACTTCACACTGCGGATGCGGCCATGAGATGGTAGATTATTCTCCGCAGTACGATTGGCAGAAGATATGGGGTGCCATTCAGAGTTGGAAGTCAAGAATATAGGGGAGGGCTAGGGAAATATCTGAGCCCGTTCTCGTTGAGTAATGACTGGGAGAAAGTACGAATTCGTATGTTGCCGGCACAAGGGTAGGGAGGGCCCCAATCTGGGTTCTTTGACTGCGAGAAGATGTCGGCTCTTTCTCACGGCCAGGTCCTCGCCATTTATTTTGCCTCTGCTCGATTTCGCCCTGACAACAGACGCCAACATATGAGGCTTTCACTATGAGTTCAATCAGGAAACTTTCCTTACCATCATTAGAACGTTTTTGGAGTCTTTGCGAGATACTCAATACTAGCACGGTCACGGCCTTGAATAGCAAGCACACTAATTGTAGGGAACCTCGTTGGATGATGTATTCTCGCAGCACATCTCGTCTTGTGTGTTGCTCTGAATGAAATCTGGGGGAAAATCGTACCGAATACTACTTTTTGCTTTGGGCAATTGTCTGAATGAGCCTTCCGTTGCTGATTTTGTTTTCGCTATTCCTCACTGCGGAATGATTTGGTGTTTCTATCCTATGAGATAAACAAAGGGGGGAACCAGATTGCCATAGAAATGAGAACAGTGTCCGAGTCCACTTAGGATCTCGAGTTCTCTAGATTGGTCACCTCCTCACCTGACCTGACAAAGCGGCTGCAAATATCTAGGCTGGGTATGATACCCAGCCCGTTTATCCGAACCTAAGATGCCCAAAGAAAGTTCCCTAAGCGTTGTTGAAAGCTGATAAACTTTGGCGAAAAGCTGTGGTTATATCTTCCTAGCAGTCCCATCGGTGTATACCTTATTGTTAGTATAAACGTCAGCAAGGCAAGGCCATTCGAAGTCTGATAATCACGTATTGAACTACATAATGGTATGTAAAAGGAGGAGGTTAGTAGGTATAGCTAACAATTCCTCCACTAGTTGTGAGCAGGGAAGTGAAGGGCCTATGCAAACGGCCCCTGCCACCTTATAATGGCCTTCTTCTACCGTAAAATTTCAACACTAATAAAGGGAGATAGTGGGAATGAAGGTATCTGTTTTCTAACTTGGACACACATGACAAGGGAGCCTCAGCTTAAGTGCTTCATGTAGGCCAGTGGATTAGTTGATATTGGAGGAGATTTTGCAATGTCTAGTTGTGGGTGACCACCTACAGCAAGCTATCCATAAAGTGGTTTTCTGCTTCCTTGGGGGTCGCTCTCTAAGCCTAACAGCGTGAATATACCCTGGCTCAAGGCTGGAAAGGCAGGGAGGAGCCTCGGTCTTATTGTTCTCGAAAGCCCAATCGGTAGGTGCCTACCTGAATAGATGGAATACATGAAATGGGTTTACGGTATACGCACCCACGTGATTGCAAGCCGGTGGTAGCTGAACCGTACCTTATAACACTTTGTCCATGGCGCCACGACCTGGAGGGAAGAAGGGTATATACCCCCCTTTCAACCCCCTTCCTGTCACCAGCAAGCAGGCGCCCGTCTAGGTCGACGGGTCAGGTCAAACTGGCTGGGTGGTGGGGTGGTCAAAGGTCAACAATCAATTATACACGCCAACCAGCCTACCCAACGACAGGCTTAGTGAGAGTACCCGAGTTCGAATCCCAGCTTGAGCACCAAGAGATGTAGTCCCCAATTCAGTACCGGGGGGGGGTGAACTCTTTTTTACTTCCTGTTGTCAATTGTGATAGTGCTTTTTGCTAATGTCGTGATGGCATCAAACACTCCAGACGCTCACCGAGGATCACGTATTTTGGTACTACACATTCACCGATATCGACACCCTCCGCCATTATATCATGATTCAAGTTTCTGTACGGAGTACTGACCGCCCGGAAACCAGGGGTCAAGACTCCCCGGCCGCGCTGGGAAGCCCCATGCTTTGCGCCTGATATGTTGGAGTGAAATGCCCCCCCACAAGAATCATTGCGAAGGGTGCGGGAAGGGGGGGGGGGGGGAACATCCAACTGAGAGAAATGACAGAACCTCGGAAAGATGCTGGCGGTGAAGTTGTGGAAACCTGCGACGGGAATGGGATGGGATGCTCCCCCCACGGAAGCGGCCCCCGGAGTGGAAACGGGGATATCCCCAGCCATACACAGGTGGAGATGGGGTATCCCTGAGTGTGCGCAGGCTTCGAGAAGGTCTCTTTCCGTCGTGTGATTGTTTCGAAGTTTTTTTTTCTTTTCGTCTTAGTGTAAATATAGCAGGGGGTTTGGGGCGTGGGCACGTCGCCGTCGGTGTGGGGGACGGGCGTGGGATGTGACTGGGAAGGCCAGAAAAACTTCACCGTCTTCTGTTCGGCGCACCTTGGGATATCCGTCGGTCTGGAAGGGCCCCCCACCATGACTTCTTGCGACTTCCAGATCCGTACACTCCGTCTGATATGGGGACAATTCGTTAGTCTTTCCTGATCTGATTTCGGAACTTGTGAGCATTGCCTTGGAATAAGAGGTCAGCAAGCAGTCAGTCAGACGACTGGCGAAAATCCTGCTTCTCGGCTGGTAATCCAACGCTTCGGAAGTCTTGTTCTAGAACAGGGCGGGCCACTAGATCAATGGGAAGGGCACAACCGGGACGCGGCGGTTACCGAGGGTTCAAACAATACGCTTAGTGAATACTACTGAGATCAGCTTAGAGCATTCAATCGCCGCCTGATTGTCCTGGTACGCGGACTACTACTATCTGAATAATCCAAGATTTTTCACACTTCCTTCAAGGCTTCCCTGGCACTCTGGCTGGAAAAGGAGTAGTTCTGGGGTCGTCGGTTTAAAATACTGCTGTGACTGAGAGTTCATGGGCTGTACTGATAGCACGATGTGGTGCCAGCTTGCTCATGCGGCGGACTAACGAAAATGGCCATG